AATACTACTTTGGTTCCCATGTTACAAGTGAAAAATTAAAAAGGGAGGCAGAATGGTTAACTATCTACCCAAGGTCATCCAGGGAATTGGTGGGGAGCAGGGTTCAAGTCGGGGTCTGGCGGACTTCTGGGCTCGGCTCACCCCTGTCATGCACAGCATCCCAGATGCTCACCTGAGGCTGCCTATCGCTGGCAGAAGGCGATGGGGAGCTCCCGGCTGGGCACCAGGATCCCTAAGTGCAGCATTTCCACAGGCTCGTGGTCCGTGGCCACGATGTCATATTTGCGGACGATCTGGAACACAGGTGCACACAAAGGAGAGTGAGCCCTCTGCCCCGCCTTGTGGAGCAGCACAGAACACATGCGGGAAGCAGTGAGGGCTTACCCAGCAGACGGCCAGGTGGAGCTGGAGCTCAGCCAGCCGGCGTCCGATGCACATCCTCTTCCCAAGGCCAAACGGGAGGTGTGCGAAGGGGTTGATCTTCTCTTTCTCTTGAAGCCATCGTTCGGGCCTAAACTGACTGGCGTCATCAAAATTTTCCTCGTTGGACCCCAACACCTGGGTATTTAGCATCAACACTGTCTGCAAACACACCAAAACGCATGCATTTAAAATAAGCAGAAGAAGGTGGTGGAAAAGCAAAACTTAACAAAAACAGCCACCTTAGAGATATAAAAGTCACCCATAAGTTTATAATAATGACGATTGCCAATATGCATGGGAGACCTGAAATGTGCCAGGTACTAAATCGGTAAATAACTTTAATATTCTGCATCACATTCTCACAACAGCCCCAGGTGATAGATTTTATTATTATCCCCATTTTACAGATGAGAACGGTGAGGCTCCCAGAGGTTATATGACTCACTCGGGTCCATACTTGAGTCCAGCTCTGTCCCATAGCCATTATTCCTAACACTATATGATGCAACACATATCAACCATGCACTACAATCTACTTATTTGCAAAATGAATGTTTTCTTTGTTGATGTTTTTTGGGGAACCGGATGCATATTTCAAAGCTCTGTAAGGGACAAAATAAACAAAGTCTACTCACTCCTTTGGGTAAAGCGTAGTCACCCAGAACTGTGGCCTTGTCAAGAGTCCTGGTTGTGAACGGCACACTGGGGGTGAGCCTGGAAAAGCAAAATCAAAGATGTACAGGCGGCCACAGGCCAAGTGCTGGCTCCAGTGTTGATGGGAACGCATTCTGCTTACGTGAAGAGTTGCTGCATTAAGTTCCTAAGCCCAAAGGGGAATCTGGTCACAGTTCTTCGTAAAGAGGTTCTGTCTCCTG